CATGGTTCTCTGTGGGCAGGGTCAATTTGTGTGAAAATATTATCCATGCCTCATGCTTCCTTGCGTTTCCTGTTCCATGTCTCCCGTAGCAAGCACCCCTAGGTAGGGCATTGTCCTTTGGAGACAGTGACCATCCTTTCTTCTTACCTTCCATTCCTGCCTCCCTCATTCCATCTCTTCCTCCTTAGAACAAATCAGAGAAAGGCAAGATTTGAGGGAAGTGCTAGGTACCTCATAACTAAGCGAGGGGACCCACTACCTTTGTACCTAATAATGATAAATTTATTTTGATGCTGTAAGTGTCTATTAAATGCACAGAAAGGAGGAATAAGCAATAGGGCAGGATTCTGGCATGACTGGATTTTTGAACATAATATCATCAAAATATCGAAATCCATCAGAACAACATTCTGAGTCTCGGCAGTCACCATTGACTTTTTTCTCTCTACATCCGCCCCTCCACTCCAGCTTTATTGTGATGAGAATAACAAATAAAAAATGTATATAGTTAAGGTATCCAATGTATTGTTTTGATATATGTATATGTGAAGTGATTACCACAGTTAAGCTAATAAGCATATCCATCACTTCACATATTACTTTTTTAAAATTGAAGTATAGTCAGTTTACAATGCATCAATTGTTTCTGGTGTACAGCATAATGCTTCAGTTATACATATACATACATATATTTGTTTTCATATTCTTTTTCATTGTAGGTTAGTACAAGATATTGAATAGAGTTCCCTGTGCTGTACAGTATACACTTTTTGTTTATCCATATTACCTTTTGTGTGTGTGTGTGGTGAGAACATTTAAGATCTATTCTATTAAATGTCAAGTATACAGTATATTAACTGTTAACTGCAGTCACCATGATGTACATTAGGTCCTTTCCATTGACTTTCTAGTAGTCAAATTCAGTGATTTCATATGAGTTTTTATTCTTTTTGATCTCTATGTAACATATTTGATTGTCTTAGCCAGTCCCTCTCTCTTGAAGTGCTTTACTTGGCGTTTATGCCATGTTACTTCACTAGTTACTTATGGTAACTCAATCTATTAGTTTTATTTGCCTGTCTTTTGGCAAAAAAAGTACCCCTGAGATGTTATGGGAATGCCCTCCCCCTGACAATCTCAGCGCATATGATCTCCTTCCACTAACAGCTCAAGAGGTGGGCAATTGATTGACTCTCACATGTGAGTGGAACAGGAAATAGAGCGTGGAGCTTGCTGTGGCCGTTTGGCTACTACTTGGAATTTGAGGCTAGAGCCTAAGTGGCCAGAAGCAGAGTGGAGCAATGAAGCTCTTGGTGACATCCTGGTTTTTGAGTCCCATATCCAGATGTACTTGAAACGAGCCTATCAGAAACTTTTCTGAGACAACAGCCAATAAATCCTCCCTCTCCACCATGATTTTGGCTTAAACCAGTTTGATTTGGGTTTTCTTTCTTTTGCCATCTAAACAACACTAAAACAACGCTTGTGTTTCACTGTGTATATATAAATGAATAGAGAAAGTTCTGGAAATACACATTCCAAATGGATCGGTGTGGTTATCTCTGGGGAAAGGGGACTGTTATGATGGGAGACGTGATTGGAAAGAAATCTGTAGCTATATAGCTAAAACCTCTCTCTGCTTTCCCCCTTCTACTGTGGGTCCTTAGTGTTTCTGAAGGCTGTAAAGCAAATGTACTTACTAACTTCGGCTTTCGGATTTAGCTTGCCAGCTAATAATGGTGCTCATAATTATTATTTACTCTGCAATAGCAATTAGATCTGTTTCAAAATTCTTTTTCATTTCTAGTAAGTTGAGTCGTTGCTGTACCATTATCTGCTCTGAAACTAAGAAAACAAGGCACAAACTAATTTAGTGGTTTGTCCAGAGTTTTACAGTAAAACACTGACAGGGCTGAGATGCATGGCTTCTCATCCTTAGCCAGTGGGGCTTCCCATTTCATCATAATTTGCAGTCGGGACAGGCTTCACGGAACTACATTTTAGAATCATATTGTGGTGCTGAACTGAACTTGATTCCCTCCAAGGACTGAGAAGAACTCTGTTTAAGTCTGTGATGCCTTTTTTTTTTTTCATGTCATATTTCTTTTCAGATGTAAACTGATCCCAGTTATTTATTTAGGTGCCCCGATGATAGGCAGCAAAACCACTTTAAGTAGTTTAGTGTTCTGCGACACAAAAGCTGAATTCCCAGGAAAGGACGCTCAGGAGCCGAGGTGTTCCTGCTAGGAGCAAAAGGCAGTTGGTTTCATCTCAGCAAGAAGGAACTGTCAACAGTACCTGCTAATTCTCATCTGGGAAGCCCTGCTTTCTTTAAGAAAAAAAGAAAAAAGAAAAAAAATCAATGAACGAACTCACCACCAGGTGGCGCACTTTTATAACAGCGGGCACAGAAAAGGGCTCGCTCCTACCTGAATCTTTTCTGAGGCCTGAATATTACAGAGTTCATTGCTCCAGAGCTAAAAGCTCTCTCTGTTTAACTGATCCCTGGGAATTAGGAGAGAGCCTTTCTTTAAAGCCATACAATAAGTTTAAACAGTTAAGCCCTCTGAGCTCACTAATTCATTTTTCCTTGTTGCTGGAAATGAAAGTGCTATATTATGGAGATAATCATGACAGATAATTCAAAGGAAAGCAATTTTGACAAATTCTAATATGACTTTATATTGAAACTGAGACGATGACAAAATGCTTTTCTTTAAAAGGAAACAGTTTTAGGCTTCAGGGAAAAAATAGGCCTCAGACGAATTAACCTTTTGCTCAAATAAGGAAAATAAAAGAGCACTGAAATGCTAAGGAATACAATTATATGATGCTTTACCTCCTGCCCTGAGTCTGAAGAATGAAAGCAAATCAGAGAGACAAAGTCAATGTCTCTCTTCTAAAGTGAAGCTGTATAAAATGATTTGCTAATGACTTAAAGCGAGGGAAAAAAAAAACCCCACAATGAACTCAACAGTTTAAAACACTGGTGGCAAGTAATATCATCTTTGCTTTGTTTCAAGCAAACAGGCAGTTAAAATTGCCCTACAAGTGGAAGGCAATAGTGCAGATTTCTCAGGGGAGAAAGAGCCTTCCTTTGGGTGGGCATGTTGGGAGAGTTAGGTGGAGATTGCCTGTTAAACACCAAATCGGATCAAGCCTTAGGTTTACTTTGTATCCGTGGGAGCTACCTCGTGATGCAAGACTGGAATGTATAAATGTGAATTTTCCTTCACACACCAGGGATCCCTGGAAGGAGGTTTCAGATTCGCCTGGTGGGAGATTATCTCCGTCCTCAAAGGAATAACATGTACCATGCCTTTAAAACAAGCGTACGTTGAGGAGGGACTGGCGATGAGAGGAAACTGAATTGCTCCAGAGCCAACTCATTTATGTCACAATATTATAAAAGGAGGAAGGGTACTGTGCCATAACAGGACATCTTTTTTCTACACCGTTCCAGCCTTGGCCATGCTCAAACTGTTTTAAAGGGTTCTCTCTTTGCCTTTGCAAACCGTGCCATCATCATCGGCCGGTTTCTCGGTCTAGAAGCCTATTGCTGGGCACTCAGACATGGGCCTGCTCCTCAGCAGCATCCCCCAAACTAGGGGTAATTCCTGACAGATGAGAGAGCCCTAAAAGGAGGAGCCTAGGTCAGGGGTCGCCCTCGACCTGAGGGCGGGGTTTAGGGGTCCGGGGAGGGCTGAGCCTGGCCCCGCCTAGGGAAGGGGCGGAGCGTGCCCGCGACCCCGCCCCGCCGGCG